ACATTAACAACAAACCCCTACATTAACAACAAACCTCTACATTAACAACAAACCCCTACATTAACAACAAACCCCTACATTAAAAACAAACCCCTACATTAAAAACAAACCTCTACATTAACAACAAACCCCTACATTAACAACAAACCTCTACATTAACAACAAACTGTAACCTTTGCTCCCCTCCTCCACAGCCGACTTTGGCTTCTGTGCCCAGATCACTCCAGAGCAGAGCAAGCGCAGCACCATGGTGGGCACGCCCTACTGGATGGCTCCGGAGGTGGTGACCCGCAAGGCTTACGGGCCCAAAGTGGACATCTGGTCCCTGGGTATCATGGCCATTGAGATGGTTGAAGGAGAGCCTCCTTATCTGAATGAGAACCCACTACGAGTGAGTTTACAGTCTGTGAGGTTAACACAACAATCCTGTGTTACAACATGTTAATCTGTCATTTAGCTACTGAAGAACCGTGCTGCTGAACCTGTCGCTTAGCTGCAGGGCTTTTATTTTGAAGGCAGGAGCAACTTCTGTCCTGACGTGAACCAGGGAACAGACACAACAGGGTGGTGTTCCACTGAGTAACAGTCATTTTGTTCTGGATGTTATTTCTGTTGTGTTACACCAGAAAGCCATATCATTATGACCACTTGTGTTCATCACATCACTGCTCAGAGATGTTTGATGCTCTCACCTCCACACCTTCCTGTCCTCTCCCACCTGCCTGCAGGCGTTATACTTGATTGCCACAAATGGCACACCTGAGCTTCAGAATCCAGAGAAGCTGTCTCCAGTTTTCAGAGACTTCCTGAACCGCTGCCTGGAGATGGATGTGGAGAAAAGGGGCGGAGGCAAAGAGCTGCTGCAGGTAAACAGTGCAGGTGTTGTTGAGTGTAACTGACAGCTGCTCTTCAGAGTACTGACAGCCTCGTGTCTCTGCTCTCTGTTGGTCCAGCACCCGTTCCTGAAGCTGGCCAAGCCCCTGTCCAGTCTAACGCCTCTCATCCTGGCAGCCAAGGAGGCCATGAAGGGCAGCCGTTAGCTGCTGGAGCTAGCCGTCCATGCTGTGCACACACACACACACACACACACACACACACACACACACACA